GAAAGAGAACGTTTCAAGTAGCTCAACGGCTCTGGAAAACTGTACAAGAAGGGAGCTTGTATTTCCCGAACACAGAGCGTGTGTGCTAGGCATAGTGCAGAGGTCATCTTGTTGAATTCCCCACAAAAGCCAGGAGAAGTGAGCCTGGTTAGCACCTTTTATGGAACAAGACGCAGGGGGCCGGAGAGGATCAGAGAAGGGAGATGACTTGCCCAAGGTCCCATAGGCTGGGAGTGATGAAGCTGAGACTGGAACACAGACAACTTGACATCAGAGCTCGTGCACTTTGTACTAAGCCAATTTCCACCAGTAGGAACTCCGTGTGTATGGGAGGGCGACAGTTCCATTCCTTTACAACAATTTATTGAACTTGTTGACCTACTTCCTTTAGCCATAGACTATGGTCTACATAGCTGTTAACCCTAATTAGACATGTTTCTAAAATGTCAGTTTTAATTTAACATATGATAACTCCGTTGTGAAATCTTAGACTGAACAGAATAGCTATTGTATGAGCCTCAAGTACCAACTGACTATAGGTTATTAAAAACATGTTGATTGAAGCTGAGGGCACTATGTAATAGAGACATATCTCATTACACAACAATTAACCCTCCAATAGGTTTCCAACAATCAGATGGTATTTATTTAATGGACAAAAACTGCTTTATGAAATACAAATTGAATACATACACAGGAAGCTTCATTTACAAAACTTCCATTTTTAAGTGGAATCGAGGCCAAGCCTTGACCAAAAGTCTGATACTCCTCATTGCCACAGAAAAAATAAATAAATCTATGGGCTGCTGGAAAGCCTGCTCTGAAGTGTCACATGAGGTTTCCCAACCCCAGCTCTAAGCTCCCAGTGAGGATGGCTGGGGAAGAGGAAGGGGGGTTTCTACAGAGGGCCTAGGGAGTGCATTTCCTTTCCCCGTGATCACATCCATCCAGCTGTCAAATGAAGGTTCTAGATTCAGGGACTGATAGTAGTGTGGAAAACTGGAGCCCGAATTTAATGTGATGCCATGATCTAATATATTTTTTACATACACACGTGCACACGCACACGCGCATGCATACACCCATACTTGTGAGAGCTCCTTGCCACATTCTGTGGCCTTTTTTGAGGGGAGGGGTAACACCTCCTTCATAATGCAAAGTTTGGAAAGACTTAATGAAAGAACATGAGAGCCTCAGATAAGACACTGCAAAATGCGAGTCGAAGCCCAGCTCCCACCACCTGCTACGGGCTTTTGGTCAAATCTCTTCCACCTCTTTGTGCGCCAGTCCCTACCTCATCTGGCAAATGCAGAAGTTGATTCCCCTGTTATAGAATTACTGGAAAGATTAAACGAGACTGTATAGAAAGCATTTAGTACAGAATCCAGTGCAGAGTAAGCACCTGATAAACGGTGACAACCATGACCATAGAGTAATAATTAATCATTAGCTGGTTATTATTTCCACCATCATCAGTGTTGTATCATCATTATTGGATAAAACATCCCCAGGAAGGGCTGGAAGGGGGGCAATATACTAATCTACCCTAAATTATAGCCAAGTTCCAACCAAAATAGAGGTCAACATCGCAGTACGTTTCATGACCCTTTAAAATCCCCTAAAGCTTGAGCGCCTCAGGGAGTCCCGATGCTGAAAGGCAGCACAAGAAACCGTTTGATTCAGGTTTCCACCTTCAGGCCACGGAGGCATCATTAGACCCACTTTTCAGCTGAGAATAAGACTCAGGGAGGGAAAGTGACTTGCCCAAGGCCATACCACTAGTGAGTGGCAGACAGGAGCTGAACTGAGGTATCCTGTGCCTCAGTTTATCATCCTCTGATCTTCTAAAAATTCTACCTTCAGTTCTATAAAACAACACTAGGCACAGGCACAGATTCTAATTATACAAAAATACATGTGGGACTTCCCTGGTGGCACAGTGGTCAAGAATCCACCTGCCAATGCAGGGGACACGGGTTCGATCCCTGGTCCGGGAAGATCCCACATGCCGCGGAGCAACTAAGTCCGTGCGCCACAACGACTGAGCCTGCGCTCCAGAGCCCGCGAGACACAACCACCGAGCCTGCGTGCCACAACTACTGAAGCCCATGTGCCTAGAGCCCATGCTCCACAACAAGAGAAGCCACCGCAATGAGAAGCCCACACATCGCAACAAACAGTAGCCCCTGCTCGCCGCAATTAGGGAAAGCCCACGCAGCAATGAAGACCCAATGCAGCCAAAAAAAAAAAAAAAAATCAGTGTTGAGCCCTGCTCAGCTTAATGCTGATTCAAGAGAAAGCTAAAAGCCTTAAAATAAAAAATTATATATATATATATATATATATGTATATATATGTATATATATGCCTGTGTATTCATGTATAATGTACCCTTCGAATACTATACGTATAGGAAGGTGTTAGCCCATTAACCAGAGGTAACTTCAACTCCCCGAGCTCATGGAGATGAGACCAGTACCTCCATCACAGAGGAAGTTCTGGCGACAGAGGTTTCCACGTTTTTAATAATAAAATGAAGCTAAATACTCACCACTTAAAACATGCATCATTACTCATTAATTTCTGTTAGCAATCATTCATGTATTCCCTGACCCCCAAATCTACATTGTGCCTCTATGGACCAGTCACTGTGCTAGTCGTGGCGGGCACTCGTTAAACAAGATCGAAAACAAGAAACACAGCGAAATCCCTCTCCAAGGCTGCTTCCCTTCCAAGTTTCCCTCTTCTTGGCAGGAGACAGAGAGGGGCATCAACACTTCACAGGCCACACTCACCTTTCAAAGAAGTGGCCGTCGATGGGCGGGAACCACTCCAGCATCACAGAGCCGGTCGTGTGGCCCACGATCTGGGGGGCAAGGGCGACAGGCGCCGGCTTCCTGGAGGGCTGCCAGCTCTGGTACACCAGGTCCAGGTAACAGTGCATTCTGGCGACTTGATTGGGCGTGAAGGAGTCAGTGCAGTCGTCATCTGCAAGCAAGCGGGCAGAGGGAGAGATAAGAACCTCGCTGCACGGGCGGGCAGGCAAGAGAACGATGATGTCTCCTGGTGGACCGAGAGCCAGCACCCCAGCCCTTGCCAACTCAGAGCTGGCCTCTTCCAGTGCTCAAGAGTTAATGGCCTGTGAACAAATTAGTGCAGTCATCACTTCTGGAGACAGGTGAGAGGGAACAGGAGGAAAGGGAGGGAGGATAGAACTGAAAAGGCACGTCTGAGCCTGGAGAGGGAGGTCATGCATAAGGACAAGGGCAAGACAAGCTGCTTTCCACGGGGCCCAAATCCCCTGGTCAGTAAGTCACACATTCCCTTATCCGCTCCATCCCCACCAATCGTTCAACCTCTCTCACTCATCCACTCATTTTCTTGTGTATTCACTCATTCACCCACTCCCTCCTTCTTTTACGCACTCACTTGTTCCTTCACTCACGCCTTCACATTCATTCACCCACTCATTCATTAATTGTGCTATTTACTGATGCAGTGATACTGGCCTTCAAACAAGCTTTCTGAGCATCGATTCCATAGCCTCCGCTCTAAGCCAAGGGCCACGGAAACGTAAAACATTCCTGCCCTCAAGGAGCTACCTGCCTAGTTATAGAGTGAAGGTCAGCTCGCTGTGTGGGTCAAGGTGGTTATAAGGCATGTCGAGGAAGGCGGAGGAACCGGAGAGGTTGCTGGATGTGGAACTGGAGGGCAACCAGGTTGCACAGCTAAGACTGAGAAAGCAAACGGAGGCATGGCGGGAGGGGGGGCTCAGGCCTGCAGAGCCGATGTGTCCTATGCGGCAAGCACGGGCCAGGAGTCAGGCAGACGCAGAAGCAGTCCAGGCTGAGTGTCCACGGCGGGAATACGAGGACAATGACGCCTCCTGCACAGTGCTATCACCGGGAAATTCCCAGGCGTGGGGCACTGTGCTTTGGACACGTAGAACCCTCCCACTAGTTTTGGAGTAAGTACTGTGATTTCTGCATTGTACAGAGGAGGAAATTGAGGCTGAGAGAGGTCTACCTGCTTCCTAAAGAGCACAGAGCTAGGGGCAGATCTGAGATTCGAACCCAGGCAGTCTGGACTCCAAGGCCACGTTTCTAATCAATATGAGAACTTCTTTCTGAGGGTACGTGAGACCTTGTCTGGGCAAAGCATCCTGCAGGTGCTTGATAAACAGGAGTCGAGCCTGAGTCTGAGGGGGGCTGGAATACAATCTCTTAATGTCTTTAGATCTAACGACCTTCAGTTCTAGTCTCTCTTTTCTCGGATGCGGAATGAAGGCCACGACCCGAGACTTATCCACACCCGCCCCCAACCGCCCACCCCAAGGAAGAGGCTGGACTCCCATCTCTCCCTCCACCAGCTTCATTCAGCTGCCCCAGGGGCAGAGCAAGGCGCTGTTTGGGCTTGGTTTCCAAAAACACCACTTCCCAGAGGTGTCCGCCTGGTCAGGGTTTCTGCAGCTGGGCCCCAGACAGAGGAGCACGGAGATCGCCAGATCTTAAAACAAACCCGCCACTGGGAGCCCCGCAGCATAAACTCACTTCCCCTTATCAAACAAACAGAAAATAACTTAGGGCAGGTGCTGGGCAGTTGGACATGACCTTGAGAATCCAGCTTTGAGAAGGGACGGGGTACAAGGAGGTTATACACAGAAGCTGCCTCTGATCCCCTTAGCAATTTTTGACACTCTCCTTTCCAGCACCCTGGGGAAGTCTTTCATACATTGGGTGTCCTTTGGAAAACACTGTAAAAGAGTGGCTAGTTACACAAATCACTCTCAAGCCCAGATACCCCCGTGTGAATCCTTGGATACCAAACGTTCCATGGGTCCCCACTGCCTGGAGAATAGAGTCCAAATGCACTTGATGGTCTAAGAAGGGTTAGATCATCATCAGGTGCATTTTCCTTTGTTACTATGAACTTTGCACTTCATCCTGAAAGCTTTGGAAAAGCCACTGGATGGGTTACAGGCAGGAGAAGGACTTGATGGCTAAGGAAGCAGGGGTCCTGTGGTTAGATTCATGCATGAGGAACCCGGAGTCAGGAATCTGGAGTCAAATGATTTTATGCCCTCAGTGCTTCGGTGTGCCCATCTGTAAAGTGGAGATGATGATGATAACAAGAGTGCTTATGTCAGAACACTGCTGAGGGTTATGAAAAGTGCAACGTCAAGAGGTGTGACCAATGCTCAGTGAGTGCTCACTGCCTCGGGACCGGGAGTGGCGCCTGTGTGTGTGCGCGCACGCATATGCACTAAGGTGGGTGAGTGCTGGAAAACCGGAAGCAGGAAAAAATAACAGAATGTAAAATATTCATTCTCTTTGATCTCACAACATCCCATTTAGGAATTCAACAGATCGATACTCATGAACAAACACGAGGGAAAACACATGTACAAGGATGTCTTTTGAAGCATCATTTACATGTAAAAATATTAGCAATAACACATCCGTCTGTCAATGGGGGGATGACTCTGTAGCTTGAGGCACATGCACAGAAGAGAATTCTAATCAGTCATTTCCAAAACAAGGAAGTAACTTTAAAACTCAGGTCCCTTGTGTGTAAGCTGGGGACATTTAAATCAACCCCACTACTTAGAGTTGTGGTGTGGACTCCACGAGCTGGAACGTATAAAGCATTTATCAAGATGAATGAAGACAAAAAACTGCAATGCTTTTCCTCTCTACATTCTGATTTGTTTGCTTTTCTTCCCCCAAAGAAGCGTATTTTCCTTTTATAACTTAAACATTAGCCGTTTTCACGTCTGTCAATAAAAAAGTTTGAAAAATGGACCGGTGATAGAACCTGGTAGGAGAACAGAACTGTACCTGAACTTTAAAGCTTTAGTCGGAAAATGTCCCTCCCAGGGTAGATCGCTTAGAGACTGAACTGCTACCAGAATCTTGGGTGAGGTAAAGGGTTTCTGTTTATCATAAAGGCTCTGCCTCAATTAGCTGACGTCTCGGGTCAGCCCCTCTTAGCTTTCTGCCATCACGGGCTTTTCCCTCTTGATATCCGTGGCCACTTGATCCTGGTCTCTAGGACCAGCCAACCCATCTTGTTCTTCTGTCCCCACGTTGTCCCCAAGCAGAAAGGACTTTGGGGGGATTTCAGCATTCTGGGGGCCTGCACCAGTCCCCATGCTTTTGAAGTTGTGCCCTGAGTTTTCTAATCAAACTCTGCTCTCAGGAACAATTTCCATCCGTAGCTGGAAGGGCACAGAGCATGGAGGTTCAGGGCCTCCACTCCCTGTGGAGCCTTGGGCACAATGCTGAGCCCTGACAGCCTCATTTCTACCCGCTGTAAAATAAGGAATCGTGATGCTAACTGCTTCCTACAGCTGATGAAAGCATTTAACAAGCTAACCCATTTCTAGTGCGTGAATAACTGAGTTGCCCTTTGTAAAAGTCTCTGCCTTCTTGTTGTTTTAAAAATAATGATAATGATAATAATAGCAACAGCAATAAGTGATTATATTCACTGTTGAGCATTTGGAATGTGCTTAGAAGACTGCAAAGAAATAAACGTTACCGTAAACATTACCTAGAGATAATACAATTAATATCTAGTATACACATATATGTATGTGTAGATGGATGTGAATATCTACAGTGCATTTCTGTAATTCTCATCACAAACATCATATATATAATTGTGATGATATATGATATATATTCCAGGTCTTACACTATACATTAGGCTCTGGGCTGTTTTCACGCTAAACAGTGAACAAATAATCCTACTAATTGTCACTTATTGAGCACGAGTTATAGTACCAAGGACAGATCTAAAGCCTTCACCTGTACAATCACACCTACTGTCATGCAAGGTAAGGGTGATTAACCTCCATGGTATCCATGAAGTAACAGGCCCAGAGAGAAGTAACTTGCCTGAGGTCAAAGGCTAGCACACAGAGGATTCAAGTTGGTCCCCACACTCCACACTTCACACTCTGAACCACTATGTTACTCTGCTTTGTGGCCCTCAACCATCTGCTACGCACCTTCAGTGATCACATAACGTTCCATCATATAGGTACCTTGTGATTTACTTCAGCAACCCATTCTCTTTGGACTTGTAGGAAGCTTCTGTTTTCTCACACGTATCAAAGCACTTCTTTTCTATGCTTGGCAGACAGTAAATGCCTAATTAATATTTGGAGAATAAACATTGCTCAGAACATTTTTAGGACTAAACCTTTAAACACATCAACTGATTTATTTCCTTAGGATATACTTCTTAGAGGTGGGACTTCTGGGTCAAAACGTATGTGCATATTAAAAGAGACACACAGAACAAAGGAGACAAGACACTTGTTCCCAGAGGCTGGGGAAGGCCTGGTTTCCACACACTTGAGGAGGCAAGGCCTGGAGGGTCCTCTTGGTTGGCTCCCTATGGCCCATTACCTTCAGGAAGTAAAATCTGAGCTGCTGCCCTTCTATCTGCCTGGGGATCATCCAACAGCTCAACGTGACTGCACTCACGCGGTGCTCGACCTGGCTTGCCCCATCACCTGCCTGGTGTCTGCTTAATCTGAGCAGTTGGGACTCTCTTAAACTTCCCCAGTACCAGAAAGGGAGCCAAATAATTCTTGCTTAAATGCAGGCTCTGCAATAGAAGGCATGCCTTGTTTTTTGCTGTGTGACCCTGGGAAAGTGACTTAAACTCCCTAAGCCGCACTTTCTACATCTGTAAAATGGGTGCAATAGCAATAGCATTTACTCCATTGGGTTATTTTGAGGATTCAATGAGACAAGCCTAAGAAGCGTTTCCCACAGCGTCTGGCAATGCCACAGGTACTCAGTAATTTCTGTAGACCTGCCACCAGCCATGTTCAATTAATTAAAATTACTTAGGACTAACAATTCAGTTCCTCAGTCTCACTTGCCATGCTTCAAGTGCTCAATAGCCAGAAGCGGCTAACGGCTACCATACAGGGCAGCACAGACACAGAACACATACAGCTCTGCAGCAAGTTGGAGGACCCAGGAAGGAAGGAACTCGGAGCAGCTGAGCCGGCAAGGTCTCCACCCTCTTGCCTTGACTGCAAACCCCCTGTGCATTGCTCTCCCCAGCCCTGAGAACCCGATCCTGGTCTGCATTTTGAATTTCATCCAGCTGCTTTTGTCACCTCATCTATCAGAGATCCTAAGGAAAACAAACATTTCAAAGTTCGTGGTTGCCTTGAATATGCTTTTGCGGGTGTAAGTTTGTTATCGTAGCTCAGTGAATTAGTTCTGCTGTTAATGGGTCACTGAGCTGAGGGGTTCCTTTAAAAAAACAACATTAAATCAATCACCCTTTAGATCTGCACAAAGGGGAACAAAAAAAGATTTAGTTTATGGGGGTCTGGTAGCTAGTGGCAGCTCCTGACCCCTAAGAGGCCGGCAAACTTCCAAACTCATGTTATTGTTTATTTTCCATGTGCACTGAGCTGGCCAAGGAAAGGTGCTATAGAAATGGAACGAAAGCAGGGCCCTGTGAGAGGACAGGGCACCGGATGTGAGATGCAGGCTTGGCTGGGAATGGGAGCCCAGCAGGAATCTGCTT